CTGCTTTGCACAGTCTTCTGCTGATGTTTTAGCCAGCCACGGCCATATGTTTGTGTGCTCTTGTCATCTGGCCAGCATGTTTTAATGCATGAGATTTTCTTTTTATCCTCTTCAAATGTCTCTTCTAAAGACAAGCTCTTATGATAGCCTCTCCAATTAACATCACATGATCACGACGTGGATGCATTTTGCGTGTATTTATCTCTGCTTTCACAGTCACGTCAATAAATGTGAGAATGTGTAAATCTCTATCTCTTTAGATGTTTAAGTGCACATGCTGCGCCCCCCAACCCCCAGCCTCCACCTCCATTTCCAAAATGAGACGGGGATGCATAACTAGATTTAAGGTTATGTAATGCTGACTGGAGGCATGGAGGATGTGTATAATCCACTCTTATTTGGGTTAAATCCATCTCTCTCCGGCGCTCTCTGTCAATCTGTAAAAGGACAGGGGCCCTTACATATTCACACATCTCTTTTCTGCCTCATCAGACTTGAAAAGCACCAATCTCTGTCACACACAGTCTTTTACCAGCCAGCTTCACAAACATCCTAACTCCCAAGAACCATCACTCAAAGCGCTAATGTCTCTGGTGTCTCAGATTTTTCCCTGATGGAGTGATTTGATTGTTATGAAAATCAAGAATATCTTCTTCAACTTCTTAAAGGATCTATCTTATCATTTAGACACAGACTCTCTGTCATTTTCACTGACAAAATGGTATGGCATTTTTTGGGCTGCATATGTTCGTGAAAGACATTTATACTTACTATATTGCCCGTGTTTACCAAAACTAAGGTCTGATATTCATTATTAAAGTAAGACAGGCATCATAATATGTAATTAATTTGATAATATGCCATAATAACTTTATATTACAGAAGATAAGATCAGAAAATATTCATATTTTACATAATAAAACTGTGACTATTGTAAATATGATCTTTGAGGAAAAGAATTTAACCATTGTCTTTTAACTAATTCATTTTCTCGCCTCAAATTCTTAACTATCCAAGCAGTTTTGCTGTAAGGATAGCAATGTTAGTCAGTCAGTCATTAACTACTACAAAGTAAATATGTCCTTTGGTACAAACATTTATTTTTCCCAGAGGATGAAGGCACTATTTCTTGTGATCCTCTATTTTTTTTGCCTGTAGCAACTGCATCACATTCATGGATGGAGCCTGTGTCACTACTCTGTGTGTGGCTTATTTATAGATTTAAAAAATGCACACCAGGCCTAGTAAAGAGTACAAGCATCACAGTTTTGCTACTGTTTATTAGCACTGCTGCCATCCTGGATCTGTGGACAAATCAGGGTTGGAAGGGTTTCTCCAACTTTCTGAGTGGGAGGTTCCATTTGAAAATTCCAATTGCAACTCGAGATTTCTGACTTTCCACTTCCATAAGCCCTTGGTTCTTGTTTTAAGACTTCTTCTTTTACCAGAGCAGTTTTTACTTGCTTACATATCTTCTTTTCTTAACCTGATTAAGAGACACCCATTCCTTATGGCCCATTCATACCCACCACATTGGACGCATTATGCACAAACACCAACACAACCAGCTCTGTACCAGTTACATCAGTACTGACAGTGTGGGTACTTGCTGCAGTATTCTCCTGAACAATAGGTGTCACCACTCAGACAAAACGTCAATAACAGCACTACTACAGGAGGAGAAGAAACCAAACACAGATTCAAGGAAGCTGCACATTGTTTTTAATCACATAATTTTCTTCCAGAAAGTTCAATCTGCTGCAAGATCTCTCTCTGTATTATCTATGAATCATTGAGAGGTACACAACCAGCCAAAACAACACCAAAGTGGAACTTGTGCAAGTGGATATGACAAATTACTGTGCAGAATTCAATGACTCTGTAGACTTTACACTATAAATGTATTTTTCACATTAAATACATTTACATATTAACATTTTCCCATGTTATAAGGTATCAAATCAAAAATGTATATGTTCAGTGCAGTAGTATGTGCCTTTTTAAAAAGCAAAACAAAAAAAGAACAACAGCATTATAAAGACTGTGTTTAGGAGAGATTAGTTGTGGATTAGCAGTAGCTGTATGAGAATGTCCACTACATTCCCAGTAACAATACATCGCTCTTAGCGTACACAATACAGGGATCTCCATTCAGCTCATGGTGAATTGAACAATTCACCATGTCCATTGTTCAAAAGATCTGTGGAACACTGCAGCGCCGTCGTCGCTGAGATATTATCTCCACTTTTTACACCACATCTGGTTGTTTTTGTTGCATTTTAAAGCTTTGCCTTTGTTTGTGTCACATGCTGCTGGAAAACCACTTTAAATAGGTCAAGAAAAAAATGTGTTTTAGTTAAAGTCCTTGAACATGGTAAGAAATTGAAAAAAAAATCCAAGGCCCCTTTTTCTTGCTGTAATAAAAATATATCAGAAATTGTGACACAGCTAATATGTATCAAATCAAACCATGAATTTTCCATGAGAGGAGTGCTTATTTGTTTAACATCTTTATAGAAATATTTTTTAATTTTACAGTTTAAGTTGCAGAAGGCTGCATCTTCACCACCAAACCATTTGCTCATTTGCTTTGCACAACAGCATTTGTAATTAAAAATCCAGGTAGAATATAAATAAACGGCATATAAAGTGCATGCACACACACACACACACACATACGCATGCCACAGTGGTGCAGTGGTAATCTGTGATCCACATGCCTATAATCCTCATAAATATTGAATATTTGATGACTTTCTCATTGATGGAGCATGACACCTAGGCGGCCCACCCTCTGCTAACTGTAACACCCATGGGAGCGGGGGGTTGTTCCCGACAGCGGTCTTATCTCAGGGAAAGCATCTGAGCCAGCAAAACTGACAAGACAGTAAAGGCGCCCGCTAATGTATGTGTAACATATCTTATTTTAGATGAAGCATTGTTTGTATAAATCAAATCGCTACAGACATGAAAACAGCAAATGATGCAGTGATTCAAAAAGATGTGTGCATGTGTGTGTGTGTGTGTGTGTGTGTGCTTGCATGTCTGAGAGAGTATGCTGTTGTATCTGTTTTTCCTCTTACAATCTGACTTCTGCTTGCCTAGCAGGGACCGTAATGATGGTCGTCAGCACTGGCTGGTTGCTAGGTAACAATTACCTGACTGTGCTTTGCTTGCACTGAATTACACGGTGGGCTATGTGTGTGTGTGTGTGTGTGTGTGTATGTGTGTGTACAGAAACTGAAATATACAACAACATAGAATCTTAGCCACTGTCTCCAGTTTTAGGGCAGAAAACACCCAGGAGCAGAATCACTGTGGTATTATTAGCCCAGGACTGTTTCTGAATCTTAGCTGTAAACTTATTCTCAACTTCTATTTTAATATTGTTTTCACAGAGCTTCAAATTTGTGTGTAAACAAACTATTTTGCAACTGTAATCTCATTCTTTCTTCATGTTTGATTTAGATGTTTTTTGTTACTCTAGTGTAAGAAGCTTAATTCTCTGCGCCTTGCATTATTGGTTTTACTTCAGTGTTCAAGTGTTTATGGTCGTGTCCAAGTAGAGGGTGGTGGGGTGGATGTGACGAGGGGCAGATGATGATGTCACGTTACACGAAACCTCAGGATAGATGACCAGTAGTTTTGGGGGGGGTTTTCCTTCTGATGATTCTGCTTTGTCTCTTTTTTTGTAATGTTTTTCCTACTTCTGAATAGAATTTTTTCCAAAACTGAAAAACCTTCCTGCCTCCTTCCTGGCTTAGACTTCTCCACCCTGAAAAGCCTTTACTGAAACTAAAGGGTTTTAGTAAAAGTACTTTACTGAAACCCTACAGCTATGGCATTTCCAGATCTAACAGTTCTCTACCTTTATGAAAACCATGTTCTTATTGGAACTCAAACCATTAACCATTCTATTAACTTGAACAAACTTTTATCTTTTAAATTTTGCTTAATCGTTGTCAAACGAAGGTTAAAAATATGTGCTGTATGACCTGCTCCTTGGAGGTGTACTAATTCAGGAAACAATCATACTGATCTTATTCATAGATTAGAGATACCTTACTGACACTGATCACTTAGGTCAGCAGTAGTTAGTCACTTCATGGATCAGCTGGATCCCAGTTGACAGAACCTTTATTTCACATTTCAAGAGAATGTAGCTGTGGTCTACCATATTCATTCCTCTTTTCTCTCACATTACAAGAGCCAAATAATTGGCCCTTTTTATGTTACTGTAATGTTAAATTCCCTCCAAGTCCCATCAGTTGTAAAGTAAACAATACATCCTCAGTAAGGACTGACCCTGGCATAAGGAAGCACAGATCAAGGAGAGACTCCTCTACTATGAACTGATCCCAACAGGAGGCCATGGCACCTCCCCCAAGAACTGCGTGCCAGCTCTCCCAGACATGGATGATATATTTGGAGATCATTAAATGGTCCTAAATGAGACCCTGGCGTGAGAGCGAGCTCTGACCATCTGGCCCCATTGTGAGCGCCGGAGCTCTGTTCAAACTCAGCCAGCAGCATCCTCACGCCTGATTGGATGGTTGTTGAGTGTGCATGAAAATTCCAGCCAATCAGACAGCCTTATAAACAATTACCCAAACCTCCCTCAGTCTCTACCTTTCCCAAATAAACGGACCATCCTAGTACATAATGTGTGTGTTTCCCTGCTGTAGTCAAACTGTTCATAAGCCCCCAACTCTTTTTTTACATTAGCCCCATAGTAAGCACCACTAATTCTCTTGTGATAATATGTCATATTATCACATGTTTACTGTATTCTTCACTATGAATCAGATGTATGTGTAACAAGTTATTGTTTATTCACTGTCTGAGAAAGGTCTGGTCCTCTGTCACTATTTGAACAATGGAAATGTCGTGGCCTTTCATGACATTACTTGAGGGTGAATGAAAGCATGTCAGCAGTGAAAAGATGTCCTTTTTTTTAGGTTTATTTACTTGAGCTGTTTTTGTCTGGCCATGTTTTCCAGGTCACAAGCTCAACAAGGATCTGAAGCATTACCTGAGCTTGAGGTTTCAGAAGTCTTCCCCTGACCACGAACTGCAGAAGACAATCCGAGCCAACTTGTATCGTCATGCTGTGCCTTGTGAGTATTACTTTTTATTGTTTAGGTTTTGTTTGTTTTTTTTACATATTTTCTTCATCACTGGCTTATTTTATGGCTTGTTTACCATCTTTTTTAATTTAATCCTTTCCTTTTTTATATAAATTATTCTGTTAGTCTTTATGTTCCTGTCATCACTTAAAATTCACACAAGCTTTGCTTCTAATCAGCGAAAGGGGAAACATGTATTTTTCAAACACACTCGCTGTCATTTTTCTTATTACTGCCCATTAAAGCCACTTGTGTTGACCACACCAGAGTACCATTTTTGCAGCTGTCTCACATCACTGTGAAAGATACAAAAAGCGTGGCTCAAGCCAAACACTCCGCGCTGTGCCAGACTCCACAGCTGGGCTCACTTACGTCACAAACAGTTGGATGTGCGGCTGGGTGACACAGCCCAGCTTTACTCAGTTCATTTTCCTACTGTACTCATGTCATGTTTGTGTTTCCAAAGCATTTTGCTTGAATTGTGTTGGCCACGAGGCTTGAGGCCTTAGGTGTTTCAGCAAAGCCGCACAGTAGATGTTTTCAGCTTGCAAGTGTATGTTAATGTTTCCCCCTGAGAACTTTATCTGATTATGATATGTACAGACATTAATTAAACAGGCACAACAGAGATCAGCATCACCATGACCACTCGCTCCTGTTTCTCTGAAATGGGACTTGGTGTTAGTTTGCATGTGTTTGCATTGCAGTGCTTCCTAATAAAATGTGGCTTCTAGTCTAATGGATTTTTTTCTCTCCCTGGGTCACTCTCTTGTTCTTTGCCTTTTCGCTCTTTGCTCCCCATCTCTGGGTGTCTTTCTCTTACGCTCAGCCATGTGACTAGTAAATCTGCCTCTCTGAGCCTCACCCGGTGCCCTGCCTGGGATTATGATGTTCTGATATATTGAAAATAGATTCCTGTCCGATTATGTGATGAGCATGTTGGACTCTTACGAAGTTCATTGTATGATGGAGGCCCTTGTGTGCTAGGACAGTGCTGACATGAACATCAAAACGAAAACTAAACAACAAGAGATTTTCAAAACAATGCTACTGTAAGGTGGTGTAAGAGAGACCTAAATGATTGCAAGGTTTTGTTTCTATTTTTTTTTTTACTTTTTTCCCTAAGAAATTGTGGATACAAATAGAGATACAAAAATCACTTCCTTTTTAGAGATAACTGTAAGCAGATTTAGTAAAACTTTTTAAGATGTCTTTAACTGCAAGAAATTAATCTTTGGGTCATTGCACACTGGTTTTTATTTTTACAAGAGTGCTTTTATTAAGAGGCTGCACTTTTATCATAGCTGACTGATAAAATCCACAAGAGAGGAAATGTACCATCATGAAGGTTGGTTTAAGTCTCTAAGGTCAGTGAGGAGTGAGATGTAGGCAGGACTGTGCCTTGTATGCTCTCTCTCAAAGACCCTCAATGTTTTTAGAGCTCTTATACTGTGCTGTTTGTGCATGACTTGTGATAGTGTTTAACTGATCCGTCATTGACCTTAAAGACTCTCCTAACAAATGTGTACAGAACAAACCTCTACATAGCTAAACTTAGCTGTTAACAGGACTAAATATCAGTGTCAGGGACCAAACAGTAAGGCACATGGGGCAAATATGTAAGAAGTATTTTTTTAATCATTTTTAATTAAATGAAAAATTGTAACACTCTCCACAAAATCCCAAATGGTGTAAAGACATCCAAAAACTCAAAATAAATTCAACAAAAACAAAACAAAACTGAGATTAGGTTAATATAACTAACTTCACCTAACAATTCAGGCACACGGATTTAATGTAGACACAGGTTAGACAGAAAAGAGTGGGGCACTTAGACAAACAATAGCAACGAACAAACTTAGAAAACTAGAAAAAAATAACATCAGTCAACTAATATTTTTTACAAATCAAGATTAACTTATATCAGATATAGTCATATTTCTAATATATATCTATATAGATTTTTTTTCAAGTCTCCCTCCCAATTTCATATCCCCTGTTTTCAGTCCACTGTTGGACTCTTCCATTTCCTGCTCATATTGTATAAAAATCTCTCTAACCCAGCTGGTCAGTTTTTCGGAGCATGGTGGAAACACTTAGGGTAAGTGTTACTAGCAAATAAATAAAAAAGCCTAAGACAGAACTGGTCACTATGCACTCAGATTAGAAAACAACTGCTTTAAATAAAAGTATTATCAAAGCAAGATTATGTGCCAAATTTTTTATTTAATTATGTTTGTGTGAAAGATAAATAAAAAAAAAATATGAACACTGAAGGGTGCCTGGTGGAGCCACTACAGCCAGTAACATGTTCACATTGGTAATGCTGATATGTAGCTGGTGCAATCTACCAGATTTGCAACAATAATTTAGCATGTGATTAGCACTAAACACACAGACTGATCAAGGGTATTGGTTTTGCTGGTTTGGCGTCAAGGTTGTTGAAACGACTGATAAAAATACGAGAAATGGTCATAATAGCAGTCGAATATAATATATACTGACGTGGCACTTTGCTGAATATAATGTAATCAGCCAATTACATGGCAGCAAGAGAATGCATTTTGATGTGGTTAAGATGACCTGTTGTAGTTCAAAGCAAAGATCTGAATGAGGAAGAAAGGTGATTTTAAGTTCTGAAAGATTGTTGGTGCCAGATGTGTTTGACTGAATATTTCGCTCCACTGGAATTTTCCCACAGGACCAGCCATAGAGCTTGCAGAGAAACACTGTAAAAACATAAAAATATCCAGAAGGCGACAGTATTTTGTATTGTCCTCAGAAGAGAATGGCCAGACTGCTTTAAGCTGATGGAAAACAAACAGTAGCACAATCACTTGTTGCACTTGCTGTATGCAGAAGAAAATGTAAAATTGGAAAATGTTGCCTGGTATGAGTCTACTTCTAATTCTACTTCTGCATCTAGCTGGTAGGGTCAGAATTTAACCATGAAAGTATGGATCCAACCTGCCTTGTATTAAAAATTCAGGCTGATGATAGTGGTGTAATGGTTTTGGAATATTTTCTTGGCACATTTTGGGCCCCATAGTACCAGCTGAGCATTGTTTAAACACCACAGCCTCGATGACGATTGTCACTGACCCCGTCCAACCCTTTATGGCTACAGTGTGCCAATTTTCTAATGGTTGCTTCCAGCAGAAAATGTCGCAAAGCTCAAGACAGATCAAACTGGTTTCTTCAACATGAAAATGATTTCACTGTACTCAAATGACCTCCACTGTCACCAGATATCTTGCACAGGAAATTTGCATCATGGGTGAGCAGCCAACATGTTTGCAGCAACTACTTGATGCTGTCATGTCAATATGGACTAAAATCTCTAAGGAATGTTTCTAGCAAATTGTTGAATATACATATATTCAACAAGTTATATACCACAAAGAAGGCACTTTGGAAAGCAAAGGGGGTTAAACCCAGAACTGGTAAGGTATATCTCATGAATTGTCTGGGTACATTGTTGAGGGGACATAAACATCTGTCATTTATCTGAATTTTTTGAGTATTAACGTACATGTTACAGACTAATTTTTGACACATGACGTCAATATATTCACACATTTACTATAGATTAAAATCCCCTACTGCTCGTTCACTGGGCATATCATTAATTTGTCATTTTAAAACAATACTTTAATGTGACACACTCAAAAATATTTTCCACTACTAATCAGTCGCTGCTTATATTGAATGTTCTTTCAATTCATTTATTTGGTTTGAAGAAAATATTGAAACTGTGTCCAGACCTGTTAGCCTTTGGCTGGTAGTTTTTGGCTGGTATCCTTAGATATGTATATAGTTTTCTATATATTATCCATCCAGGACCTTTTTCTCGTGACGTCTGCTCCTTTGTTAACCAGCTATTTTTTATTTTTTTATTTCCAACCACCTTCTCCACAGATGGGGATGGTGGCTTTCTCTACATGCGTTGATTTTATACCCCAGTGTTTGTAGGACTACTGTGATAGTACTGTGTATGAGCTCATTGGTTTCAGTGATTCTAATAGTAGGGCTGGAGGTGGTTTCACATCTGAACGCATTCTTGTCTGTTGGGACTTTGTCAGTGAGCTCAGGGAGTCGTGTCCTTGGTTTTGTGGCTACCTTGGCCACATCGTTCATTCTCAGCTTAGCAGATGCTACTGCTACAGCAGTTGGGTGGGCATTATGTAGCTCAGCTAGACTACTCCAGTCTATCAGGGTCAGCTCATTATGTCCACACTGCTCACTACTGTTCATATTGTTCTGTACTTTGGATCTTCAGCTTCAATAGTAGCTTTCTTATACTGATGTTATAGCATTGAGCTACTAGGTCAATGTGGATGTTTGCCTTCCACTTATCCATAGTACATGCATTGTAACATGATATGGCTTGGCTCGGCTTGGATAGTAGCATTACATTAACTCCTTGTCCGTGACTTGTTCCACTAGCCCACCTCTTATCAGTATTTGATGGTTCTCCAACACCTTGCTAAGCTGGGTAACAACTGAACCAGTATGACTTTAGTTGCATCTCTTGATCATCTTCCAAGGTAGGGTTGGGGTTCTAGCCTCGAGGTCCTTACTGGATGCATGGTTTGACCAGGATTCGAACCCCAACCTATTGTTCCAAAGACTATCCCGCTGCTATATATTAAGCAGCTGGAAAGACACACAAAGACACACAGACATATTGTCTTGTGGCCCTTTTTGGGTCACAACACTGTGTGTGTGTGTGTGTGTGTGTG